TTAAATTAGTGATTTGCAAATCAATTATAATTTGTAACCAGTTCTTTTTAATGATTCAGTCAACTGGTAGATCACTCAAGTACAACTGTGATGTGGGTGGCAACAGAACATTGAGCATTATGTGTAACCTAAATCAAAAACATTTTGATAAAAATTGATTTTAATACAAACATGGGAATGTTTTAAAGCATTTTTTAAAATCTGATCAAATGATCCCAGGAGGACAAAAATAAAGCCAAAGCTAATCTGAAGCTGCCGATAAAAATGAAACTAAGGGAATTATTACAATGCAATTACACACATACTTGTGTATTTGTCTTGTCTTACTCTTAAAGCTATACTACACTGTTAAGACCTGTTACTGAAAGTGCCTTTTCTTGCCTGTTTTCGTCACGTAACCACTAACATGAGCAGACGTTTTGCAGTCTTATAATTATCGTTATTATTTTAAATACTGTATGTTGTTGTTGATTTCTGATCCAGGATCATTTATGTGTGCCGGGTTTTCCCTTCACCTTTCCTACCAACCAAGAGACATTGTATTTTGTGCATATGTTGCACATTAGTTCAGTAAGTTTAACACAATCCAGTATATTGCTTTAAAATTTGATTGTTTGTTTGTAAGTTGGATGTGATTAATATGTAGCCTAGTTATTTAGTATTGTTTTAATGTTACATTGCAATGCTATGCTAATTTAAGTAGCAGTAATGGTCAAGAGCAGGGACCTGAGGCTTGTGTGGAAAGTCCTCAAGACTGTTATAAGCCAAAGGACCGATATTGATCCCAAAGCTTTGAATCTATGCACTGAAACAAATGTCAGCACCCAAAGCATCTACTTATGCATTTCAAAAATGTTTTCATGAGACAAACTTATTTTCTTTAGTTTACTATATATATTTTTTTTATTTGCACCTAAAAGAGTAGGTTTATTTTTCTTCTAAGCATTTATATTGTTGTTGAGAATCCAGTGGAATTATGCAATAGGTTTGTACAATTGCAAAACAGTTGTGTTTAGTGAAGGGGCGTTCACTCTTTCTCATGATATTATGAACCTCACTAATGTTCAAATATGTGCACTATGAAGTTCAATAGAGTGTTTTTTGCATGTACCACAGAAGAAAATGAATGACTGAAAATAGAAAGGACCCTGCACTTGCAGAAATCTTACACTTTAATTCAGGGTTGCAAGTCTTAAAAAGTGCCTTACGGATTGTAGTGCTGACTACTGAGCACCTGTATTGAAAATATTTAAGATATTCTCATTATTACGTACATGTTTGGACTAATTTAACATGCTTCACATTTTGTTCTTAAAAAATAAAAAAATAACCAACCTGTATTTTATTTAACTCTTGTAGTTTGTTCTTCACTGCAGTGATTAAAATGCAAACACTTGCTAAATGTCACCAAATCTGATTTTGGTTCAGTTCTGACTCTCACATCACACACACAAATAAATTTTAATGAGGTTACAGTTGTGAAGAGGAAGCATCAACCATCAACAGTTTCATGTATGTTTTGTTCTATAGACTGAAATGAAAACCGGTATCAGCTTCGTGAATCATGTTAAAACTTTATTAAACAGCTCAAACTAACAAAACAAACCTTTACAGTTAGTGTGTTTGAATTCAGACACGCTAATTAAGTGCTTTTCACTTGTTGCAGTGGAGTCAAAAACATTTACATTATAAAGAAACAAGAACTAAAAATACAGACTCCGTTCAACTGTCTCTCCACCAGATTTGAGTCTGAATTTAAAAAATGATTCAGGTGTGTATACACGAAGTGTCCTCATTGCAGGAGTGTGCCATCACTAAAGAAAAACTTACTCCGAAACGTCTCTTAATGGGACACTCAAGCTTTTCCTCATTGTCGCTTCATGGATGGAAATACAAATGACACACTACTAAATAACTGTACATATACAGGTAAAAAAAAAAGACAGTTCAGCTTCTGGTGCAATTAGTTCATACTGTTTACATTGTACAGAAATGAACAATTTTGTATTATTGATATACATAAGCATAAACTGGTGAATGTAGAGATGCCATCTTTTTGGTTTATGCTGAAAGAATCTATTGACTCAAGACTGCCATAAAACAGTCAATGTTTGAATCAAACTTGGAAAGACACAATCTGCTCAAGCTCCACAACAGAATGTGTTGAAGAGGCCGTGAACCTGCAAACTATCAGTTTGGTCAAGACTTCCAATAGGGTGACCATACATGCTTTTTTTTTTAATTTTTTGGACATGCTCTGGTCGGGATTTCTAAATTGTCTAAAATTTCTGGGTTTTGGCTTTATCTTTCTATTGACATGCGCTCTGCTGTCCTCATTCTTCTCTGTAGATCCCACTTTCTTGCATGAAACGATTGGTCAGTTACGTCCAAAGCCTACTTTTCAGTCATTACCTTAAGCAAGTATGAAAAACCCCCCCCAGACATTTAAAGGGATGGATCACCCAAAAAAGAAAATGACCCCATGATTTGCTCACCCTCAAGCAATCCTAGGTGTATAAAACTTTCTTCTTTCACATGAATACAATCGGAGTTATATTAAAAATGTCCTGACTCTTCCAAGCTTTATAATGGCAGTGAATGGGCCTTGAGATTTTGACGTCCAATAAAGTGCATCCATCCATAACAAAAAGGACTCACACAGCTCTGGGGGGATAATAAAGGCCTTTTGAAGCAAAGCAATGCGTTTGTGTAATAAAAATATCCATGTTTAAAACGTTATAAGTTGTAAACTGTAGCTTCCGTTAACTGTCGTACACACGTTCACGAGAGAGTGGCGTTCCAGCACATGAAGTATGTGCTGTAGCGTAAGCTCCGGTGAGAATATGCTAGTCTCGCAAAAACCAAGATTTGTTTACAGTAAACCAAGTCTCCTCCTGGCTTATATTGAAATCCTCTGATATTTTAATTTTTTTTACAAATCCTCGGATTCGTGGAAGAGCCAGGATGTTTTTAATATAACTCCGATTGTATTCATCTGAAAGAAAAAAGTCATATACACCTGTGTTAATTTTCATTTTTGTGTGAACTATCTCTTAAAGAAAATTAAGAAATACCAGACAGGACATGCGAGCGAAAAAGAGGACGTATGGTCACCCTACTTCCCGGACTGAATCTTTCTCATGTAGTATGACTTAACATACACGGTGTCTTTCTCACTTGAAAATGAAGTGTTCCCTAAACCCACCCGAACAACACTGTACAAGCCATGAACTGTGATTAGTGCAAGTGAGAGACCCTCATCCATTCACATCCAGAAAACACTAGTGAATCCAACAGCGAGACGTGTGCATTGAGACAGACACCTCGATTCAAACAGCTAAACCCTAAAAATGTCAAAACAAAACAAAAAAATCACACAAAGACACAGTGCACCACTTCTCACACAGCTCTTTAGTCGTGTGAGTGTAAATGTTATAGATAGTGTGAAATATTAAGAATATCCTGCAGTAAACAACGCTGAATAAAGACAAAGATGTAGAAGTGATCAAATCATGTCCATGTAGAACTCCTGAATTCAAGAAAACCCAGTGCGAGGCATTTGGGAGAAAACAGTGCACATTTTGGTCTATTGAAAGTGTCATATTTCGGAGGGTCTATATACAGAGGGTTCTATGTACACATTGTTATATATACAAGCCAAACGAAAGGGAACGTGACCTCGTCCTTCTACGCCTAATATAGGCTTATACACACACTACACCTGACAGGTAGCACATGCTACGCTGTGTACCATCCTGTGTCAACTCCCTGTCAAGATCTGATGGCTGATGCTTGTGAGGAAATCTAAAGTCCAATAAATAAACGATCATATGAATTTAGCTAGCTTTCACAAAGGATTTCGACATGATGAATGATGGGATTTGATTTGTTAGGGGATACCGTTTCATTATGCAGTGAAGATAAATGGACTATAATCTCACAGATGAGAATTTGGCACTGTAGTTCTTGGAGAAAACAGACAGGAATAAGGCTCAGGGGCAATATCCCAGGCCCTATCGTAAAGACACCCACAAAACAATATCTCAGGCCATGTAAATTTAAGCGACAGCCCTGATAATTGGTGCAGGTTTTCCAAGAACACCAAGGAGGATCCAGCTGTGCTGATTTGGCAGTAATTGGAAAGGTGTATCATTTTTTTGCTCCTGCCTTTTTGACATAATTTGCTTGCAATAAAAGCATTTCTTGGGGCAGTGTAATCAATGTTAAAGGGGTCGTATGATGTAGCTAAAAAGAACATTATTTGGTGTATTTGGTGTAATGCAATGTTTATGCGGTTTAAGGTTAAAAAAACATTATTTTCCACATACTGTACATTATTGTTTCTCCTCTATGCCCCGCCTTTCTGAAACGCGTTGTGTATTGCGCAGCGTAAACATAAAACCATGTCTGCATTTGTGATCGGAGAAACTAAGCGCTACTCTACACTGCTCAAACTCGCGTTTGAATCATCAGTGGCAAATTCTTTAAATACAGGCTGTCCTTGCAAAGTTGGAACTGCCCCACTTTATAGAAACATTATGTCCTCTTTTGGAAGGCCAAACAAAGTAGTTTCTCTTTCACAATGAAACACACAGAGGCTTGAGTTAGCGGCGCCCGGCAGATTCGACAAAGGAGGCTTGCGGCAACCACATGTGACGACCCCGGGCTGGACTCTGCTTCGTCGACGGTGAAAGCCTTTTTTGGAAGGCCAAACAAAGTAGTTTCGCTTTCACAATGAAACACAGCGCCTTCACGACATGGCGGTGGCGGCAACAATACTACAGCGAGAATAAAAGTTACGCCTTCTTTCTTTGCGTGAACATTTGGGCGGTTTATGCAAATCTTCCCACACAGTGAGGTAGACATGTGGGAGCGTGTTCGAACGAGCCGTTTTAGGTAGGTGTGGTTGACTTAACTTTTATAAAGAATATCTCTTTGGATTTGAGACTTTAGTTTTTGCAACTTTACAGATCTTCTTTATGCACCAAGAGCTTGTAACACTCCAAAGAGAAAGGAAAAATTGAAATCGCATCATATGACCCCTTTAATAAGTTTTACATCATCGTTGAAGTTACCAATTCCACTATAGATATTAATGATGTGGAACAGTAAAAGAAAAACGTCACTGATGTGTTGCAGCATCAGATGAGGCAGACAAAAATGACGACTTTACTGCATAGCATAATCATGAAACGGGGCAAAATAATAGATTTAGTTATTGATTAAAGCAAGAGATGTGTTATTGCATATAAAAATTCTACTAAATTTTTTTTTACAATACAAGGAAAAGAGGGTGTTTTCCCTTTGGCTATATCTAACAAACATTGCTTCCCCTGAATGAAATGTGAATCATATCTTGCACTGCACTGCATCTGCGCAGCTTCACTCACCTATCTGTCTAATCTGAGTTTTACAGTGACCACAAGAGTCAAAAACACTATTCAGACTGAAAGACAAAACTAACAAAAGATGGAATAAAGCATTTGTCAATGAGGTTCTCCCTGGGAGTTAGTAGGTGGGGCTGATTCCATGCTCCTGTGATAAGAATAATAATGAGAAGAGATGAGAGAGAAGGTGGACAGGGATGAGACAGATTGCAGGGTGCAGAGACCAACAAATGTAAGTGTGCGTATGTGATCATCAGTGAAGCCGAGGCGCAGCAGATGGGCACAAAATCCACCTCGTGGAATGAGGGAACGGAGGCTGGAAAAGACAGAGAGAAGATAGAGAGAGGAGGAGAAGGTTTGGTGCAGGTGTGTGTCTGATCTCTCTCCTGTAAGGGTGTCTGAAGGGTCAGATCTGGAGAGAGGAGGAAGGCATAGTCTGTTGTGCTCATCACCGGCACCTTCACATTGGTCATCAGCTGGTCAGGTAACTGTGCAGCTCCCTTGAATTTATGCTCAACACCACTCCTGAGTGGTTGCCTGGCAACAAGAAAAGCAGAAGGAGGTTTTGGAAAGGCAGCAGGTGAAAAAAAATGCTCTTCATCACTCAAGGTTGTTGCACAATGTGACATTGAAGAAAATGTAGACATTTAATTATAATACCTATAGATTGTAGACATTTTAACCAACTCGCAAGGTAATTAGTAATAATTAGATTTAAGTCATGTAAAAGCCCTGTTCACATAAAAAATAAATAGTAAGTGTAACAAATAAAACAATGTTAATAATACTAAAATATTAATAGTTTTATGTGCCTTTTGAATCAAATAAATAAATCATAAGACTTTAAAATAAGGTAAAATTTCAATGAAATAAACATCAGTTAATGCATTTAAAATTATTAACTAAAAAACAACAATTTTACAGCATTATTAATCTTGGGTAATGGTAATTTCTACATGCATATAAAAAAAACACTTCTACATAGTACAATATTTTAAGCTTTAAGTTTAACAATAAAATATTATGAATGAACATGACTTAACAATGAACAATATTTTTTATAAATAAACTAACTTTTGAAATTATAAAAGTATCAATTATAATCATTATAATCAATAGTATAAAAGTATAGTTCATTATTAGTTCATGATTCCTCAGGCATTAACAAACTGAACCTTTATTGTGGTGTTTCGTTTAGAGACCAATTCTCACTATTAACTAGTTGGTTATTATTAGCATGCATAGTACTAATATTTTGACCATTTATTAGTTCTTATAAAGCACATATTAATGCCTTATTATGAATGACCATATTTTAGATCCCTTAATCATACACTATATCTAAACTTAACATTTACCTTACCAACTGTTAAAGGGATAGTTCACCATAAAAATTACAATTTTATCATTTACTCACCCACATGTCGTTCCAAACCTGTATAAGTTTCTTTCACTTCTACATAGTACAATATTTTAAGCTTTAAGTTTAACAATAAAATATTATGAATGAACATGACTTAACAATGAACAATATTTTTTATAAATAAACTAACTTTTGAAATGATAAAAGTATCAATTATAATCATTATAATCAATAGTATAAAAGTATAGTTCATTATTAGTTCATGATTCCTCAGGCATTAACAAACTGAACCTTTATTGTGGTGTTTCGTTTAGAGACCAATTCTCACTATTAACTAGTTGGTTATTATTAGCATGCATAGTACTAATATTTTGACCATTTATTAGTTCTTATAAAGCACATATTAATGCCTTATTATGAATGACCATATTTTAGATCCCTTAATCATACACTATATCTAAACTTAACATTTACCTTACCAACTGTTAAAGGGATAGTTCACCATAAAAATTACAATTTTATCATTTACTCACCCACATGTCGTTCCAAACCTGTATAAGTTTCTTTCTTATGTATATTTCCAAACACAAAAGAAGATATTTTGAAGAATGATGGTAATCAAACAGTTGATGGTCCAAACTGATGTTTGGTTCTTCAAAATATATTCTTTTGTGTTTGGAATGACATGAGGGGGAGTAAATGATGGCAAAATTTTCATTTTTGGGTGAACTATACCTTTAATAAGCAGAAAATTAGGAGTTTATCAAGGCAACAGTCATAGTTAATAGTTGGTTTATAGTGAGAATTGTTCCCCAAATTAAAGTAGACCCAACAAATCCAATAACGGGCCCCATTTCTGAATTAGTAGCAAACTGATGTTAGAGTGACTGAGTCTTTTCTGGTTAGTAATGACTGGTTAGTCTAGGGTAACTGAATTTGCTTCTACCTCCAGCGTTACCTAGTGTCTGCGAGTCAAGGTCGTCATCAATGAACTCCTCGCCTTGAATGATATTCTGTGTGTCCTCACTGTGATTGACAGGGCTGGTCATTTCCTGCTCCTTCTCATTGTGCATCTGAGCATAGACGTTTCGTCCCGGCAGTTTTCTGAAACGCAGCCAGGGATGCATTAGGCTGCTCTCCTCTGGCCTCAGCAAGGAACCATGGTTTTTGTAGTTTTTCCTGTCACAGTTTTGTAGTTCATGTTCTGTTATATAATCTGGCTGTCACTTAGACATGTGGGGACTGAGCATGCATTCTTCAGTGATGAGGTGTGACGGGACAGTGAATATCCATAGCATTATCAAAAGAGTACAGTTTTTCTAAGAAAATCTGTGGTTCCTGCATACATGTGTGTACCATGCAATTCGGTGATGGGCAGCAAGACAGAATGGTTGTGCATGTTATTCATTTGGAAATAGGTTGAGTAATTTTCCCTAGTAACCCACCCAGGAATGACAGGGAAGTCTTCAAAAAACATGAAATATTACTTTTTAAAATTGCCGCAATAAAACCTGAAGAAAAGGACAAACCTTTTAAACTTGAAGAGTATGAATGCTGCAGCAGAGATCAGACTGATGAGGAGAAAGACAGCTAGAGCCCAAACACCTGGACCTGCTGCAGCCAGACGAGAACCTGCAGAAGAGGAACATCTCTGGTCATCACGCTTTACTTCCTTTATCATAATTATCAAACGCTTGCCAACAGTTGCAATAAATTTCCTACAAAATTTGATTCTGCTAACCTGTATATCATTAGCGCCTGTAATGCCACAGGAATTAAAGGGATAGTTTACACTTGATGAGATGAATTTTCATTTTGGATTGAACTCTTTAACCATCACCTGGCTCTGATGATAACTATTTACTTACCAAACGTGTAAAGAAATAACCTAAACAAATTCAAATCACACACAATGTACACACCTTGTGTGGATGAATGCATTTGTGGGGCTGTGACACAAACAACAGTGAAACAAACAAACAAAAAACTTTAAAATGCCTAAAAGATGAACTAAAAATAAACACAAAGAAAGTTTACAATAAAGAAAACTTAAGCATGCATGTGTTTTTCAAACCAAAGAGCACTGCAACTTTGACAGCACAAAACTCAAACAGAAATGCAAGCCAACAGAAGCATACATATGAAGAGTAAATGAAGCCAACTGTATGTAACAACTAGATCAGAAAACAGAACAGAACAGAGTCGTTCGTTGTAGTTTTTGAAAAGTGATTTCTGTTAAATAAAATATCTCCTTTTGAAGTGGACTTTGAGCTTTGTAACTTTGCAGCTCTTTTTTATGCTCAAACAGCAACATTACAGACTAAATAAAGTTGAAAAAGTGAAAGCATAATAGGACCCCTATAAAGAGTAAAGATGACACTTCTAAAAGCAAGAGGTAAAGTGACGCACCAGTCTCTGTTGTGCTGGCAGACACATCACTAGTGATAGGTCCTTTGAAATACATTAGTTCTGTTTTAGTAATTATTGATGAAGGGCTTGCTGTAATGCTATAATTGTTAAGTGACTCACTGACATACTTTGGAGATGTACATGAATGTGTGAGTGTCTGTCAGGTGCTGGAATCCGTTTTATTTTGCTCACCTCTATCTGAGTCCGCCAGAGTCACCAATACTCTTAACCCTCCTCTCACAATGAAGCTCACATTGTTCTCACTCAGAACCTGCTTTATAGTGGGAACACGCTGTGCAAATGAAGAACACACACAAGAACATAACAGTTAAATCCTAACAAAAATCATTTCAAAACATTTGTACCATTATAGGCTACTTTATTATAATTTGTGTCCGAGTAAACCATAGTAAACAAGAAATGAATTCCCTGACTCATTCAATTTACTGTTTACTTCTAATGCAAAAAGTATCTCCAGGTTCTAACAAGTTGTTTGTGGATGTCATCATTTTAGGTCACCGTATCAAGAGGTTTTATTGCTAGACTAATGTTTTGCTGTCTGAGAATGTATCTCTTCTCATTCGAGTGGCATCCCAGGCAAGATGATGCATCTACCTTATCCACAAACACACTCCTCTTCACTGGTGTGCTCTCTTGAGGAAGAACATAGAGGTCTGCGGTGGTGGGAAGACCAGGCTTCACCATGGTCACCAAAGAGTCCCGAGGAACCCCTGTGAGCTTTTAGAGAAAGAGTGAAACATGATAAGTACATTTAAAATGGTTGTTCTGCATAAAACAAACAGAGCTCTAGTGTTTGTGTGTTTATGATTGAAACCTTTGCAAGAATCTTGGTTACGACTTGTCCCACATCTTGTCTCCATTCAGGGATGTTTGGGTTAAAGCGATCCAAATTACGACTGAAACTCAATGGGATGACCTGGAAATGATCTGAAGAGAGACATTGTATTATGAACAAGGTATTATGAACATATAAATGTTAATATTGCAGCTGCAAAAAAAAAAACTATATTGCACAGAAGAATAATACAAAAACAATACAATAATAATCATTTAACTCTCATTAGTTCAACTAAAAGCCTCACTATTTGAAGTGATCCTACTGCATAAACAGAGGCAAGAGGTGAGGTAGACAAAGACTTTCAATCGGTGTCACACTCACAAAATATTGTTACTCCAATAGCTCTAGCAAAGCATATGGGTTTAGAATGACATGAAGGTGATTAATAATGGTAAGACAGAATTCAATTTTTTTGGGTGAACTAAATGCCTTTAAAACTTTCATACAACATGAAACATGTGAAAAGGACTCATAAAACCAGTTGAAAAGATGTGATCTCAAAATAAAGAACCGAACTCTTCCAGGCAAGTCTTTTTGTTTTTTAAAGTTGGGAAGTCATTCAACTTAAATTATTAAAAAAATGTAACCAACAGGTTTACTTTTAGCAGGAGGACAAATGATATGAAACAGTGAAGTGAGACTGTGCACAATAGTTCTTCTTCATTTTGTATTCAAGCTGAACATTGTCTCTGAGCGAGACCGTCATTTCTGCTTTCCAAGCATGACCTCATCCCTATCACACCACACTCATAAATATTCAATCCAGCCCTGGAATCACATGAACATTTCAGTTCTATTTAACACTGTCATTACAAGAAAGAAATAGGGTTAGTCCTCAAGTTGGATTTAAAACACAAATCGAGAACTTTACCAGTATGCATTAACTGTGGCATTAGTTCCCAATCTTTTTTTAGTACTGACAGTGTTTCTGTGAATGATGTTTAATTATATACAATCTGTGTTTGTCACAAGGCCCAGATTATTCATGCAGTACACGCAGGGACTAAAAAACCATAACACACTGGCTTACTGATGTGCAGAGCAATTTAACACAAAATACAACTCAAAACAGAAAAATGAATGCTATTCAAAAATATTTAATTGCAATAACTAGTATCTTTGTGCTTCTCGTTAACATTAATGGATGACTGCTGTACTTCAAGTCATAATTTGAATTTCCAGATTTACATGGCAAATATAATTTTTACACTGAGGAACAGTTAAAAAACCATAACACACTGGCTTACTGATGTGCAGAGCAATTTAACACACTTGCTAACAGAAAAATACAACTCAAAACAGAAAAATGAATGCTATTCAAAAATATTTAATTGCAATAACTAGTATCTTTGTGCTTCTCGTTAACATTAATGGATGACTGCTGTACTTCAAGTCATAATTTGAATTTCCAGATTTACATGGCAAATATAATTTTTACACTGAGGAACAGTTCTCTATGACTAGTGATTACCTGTATACCATAAAACCAATCCATTGAAAGTAGCACAAAGGCCATTTGGATTGTCTTTGTGGTGCCTTCAGTTATATTATTATAGTTTTTGTCTTTTTTGTTAAACAGAGTGCAAACATTCTTTTGTTATGTTTTGCGAACAATTGGGCCATACTGGTTTGGAATTATGTAAGGGTGAGTAAATGATTTTCATTTTTAGGTGAATTGGCTGCTTCCTTTTTAATCACGGACCTCCCATGGAAACTTGCCTTCTTTGATTTGACTGGCCATCTCAAACACTTTAACTATCACAATGTTGAACCAATGCACTCTGAACATGCTAAATATGTATGATAGAATTAAACAGAAGAGAATCATTTTGAGGGTGTACACCATCAAGGGGTGTTTTATCTTACCGTAGACAATGATAATCTTGCTGTCCTGTACCATGGATCGACCATTAGAAGCCTGAACTGTCACAGGAACTTCCCCCTCCTCAGAGAACCTTGTAATCAGACTGTTCTCCAGGGACAGCTTCGGCTGTCGAGGGGAAAGACACGTCATACATATCTATATAAGTGTAAGGGCATCACTTTAACGGCTACACCTGAACCTTTAAGCATAAGCATCTCAAATTAATTCCAGGTCAGTTTCTTCAATATTTACACATGTATGAGAGTATACACATGTGTATGTGTGTATATGAACTCATTAAACATTAATCTTAAAACTTATCATTACAATCCCACATGTATGCATACAATTTTAGATGCAGTGCCAATTAATTTATTACATGCCCTCATTACATGCCATTTTTTTCTGTAGAAAAATTCAGAGTAGTGCTAAAATAAATGGCTACTCAATTTTTTTTAAAGTCAGTATAATTTGAATACTGAACACAAACACCTAATATACACACCTAATAAAAAACAGAAAAACATGAGCTTTTGCAATAGTATTTTTTGGCAGTCCCCTAAAAATCATGTATTATGAGTTTATTTTTTATAGAATATTATTAATTAGTACCTGAAGGTTATCTCCAATCCACCAGTAAAACACGGTAAGGTTTGCCTCAGTGGGCAGCACTATAGCTGTGAGATTTACTTCTTGATTTCTGCCAGCGATTGGGACCACCTCCAGATGGACATCTTGAAGAGGAGCTGGAGAGAGAGTGGGATCAAAATAGACAAATTGAGAGTTTTGCAAAAAAAAACAAAAATGTTGTTTAGCCTATCTTGAGATAAAACAGCACATATAGTGTGAGAAATGTGTACAACTTCCATCAATATTTGTGACCCTGAACCACAAAACCAGTCATAAGGGTCACTTTTTTAAAATTGAGATTTATACACCATTATATACATTATATACCATTTGATGTATGGTTTGTTAGGATAGGACAATATTTGGCTGAGATACAATTATTTGAAAATCTGGAATCTGAGGGTGCAAACAAAATCTTGATAAAATCGCCTTTAAAGTTGTCCAAATTAAGTTCTTAGCAATGCATATTACTAATAAAAAATTAAGTTTTGATATATTTACAGTAGGAAATTTACAAAATATCTTATGTTATCTTATCTTATCTTAATGATTTTTGGCATAAGCGAAAAATCAATAATTCTGACACATACAATGTATTTTTGGCTATTGCTACAAATATACCCCAGCGACTTAAGACTGGTTTTGTGGCCAGGGTCACATTTGGTAATATCCGACCTTTCTTTGTGCAGATTTCACATGGGCCTGATTCTGAGTTATGATTCAGTAGAAACATTTCAACCTCACAGACAGTATTATAGATTATACTATCCATTATGTTCCATAATTTTACACAGCTGATTTTACTGACCTGTGACCTGGATGTAAAGTGTGGCTTGGTCATGTCCAGCAGAGTTTTCAGCCTTCACATTGACACGGTAAACACCTGGCTTCTCATAACGGTGCTGAATGGGTTCATCTGTGACAGTCAGGTTTTCATATATAGCCCTGACGCCATCCATTAAATCCACCTGATATCTGGTGCTGGTGGTGTCACCCTGAAGAGGGAAGAACAAAGAAACAAAAGTTAAAGATGACTACAAATAAGAGGAACATTTTTCTGTGCCTGTAAATTCTATTAAAAGTTTTCTTACATTTTGGCATTCAAATGATAAGAGTTGTATAAATAATCACCTGTTCCTGATGGACTATAAAAGTGATGTCATCACCAGGTGCCACAGCCAGCATCTGTCCTTTGATGCCCAGCTGCAGACCTCTAGGGGGCAGCAGAGGGCAGGAATGCTGCTTCGCGCTCTGTTCTTTATTCAAGCCACCCTCACAAACATTAGTGATGACCTTCCGGTAACTACAACACAAGACATGTTAGCCTTTACTTGTTTTTATTTGCCTTAAACTGGAAAATCCATGTGACGTGGCCTGGATTTAAACTGTGGAAAAGATGCATTTCATTCTTAAATACCTACAATAATTCGCTTTAAGAGGTGGACAAAATATCTATATAATGTGTCCAGAAAGGTATTCTCAGAACGACTGATAAACAAGCACAACTTTTTTTGTCAGCTGAGTTTTTTTTGAACGAGAGACTTCTGCTCTACTTAACACAGCTCAGTATGGCCTTGATGCACACACATTTTTTTTGATTAATAGTTTGAAAGCAATGAAATCTGATCTGTTTGTTAAATCTAGTCAATCCTGCATACAGTCTATCTGCTTTGGTTGCTATAGTAATAATGTCAGTAAGAGTATTGTCAAAATGGAAACAGAGGTTGGAAAACTGAACATTTTGCCTCTGCTCAAGTCTATCACAGTGTTCATGAAGCACAACATAAGTAACAATCATGCACATTCATTCACTATGCACTACATAGTGATAGTTTGCTATCCGGACATGATGGGTCCAAACACTATCAAAAGCCAAAAGAAAATAACGAATGGTGCTGATATACAGTAGTACTACTAAAAAATCACGATCCTAACCTTCATAGCGGAATCTCAGTTGGCCAAAGAGTGATTCATCTTTTTAGAATCATTAAAATATTGGTGTCTGAATCACTGTGAGCCTGGAGACTATAGTGTACATCATGAAAAACTTAGCTATATATGTGTTATAAATGAATAGTGCTCATAAACGGATGTTGAGATAGTATTCTCACTTGAAACCAAGTGGAGGTTTGTATCCAACTTAAGCAGATATGGGACAAAATGAGTGTTTCTGGACATAGCTTCAGGTAATATTGTGCACGATCATTATGACATTACATGTGTGTTGACCTGAATGATGAAAATCTGATCTGACAATTCAGACTAAGACACATTCCAAAAAAGATCTGATTTCAAAAGACATGTGGACGTGGTACTCATTTTATCTGCCTGTCTGAACAAAGCTTGTGTGCTCATCTAAAGTGTCTATGATATGCATGAGTGGCATTTACTGTGCTTGCTCAGTGTAAAAACTGACACATTTAATAAGTGTAGTGGTTATGCCCTGCATTTCTTAATGTTCAGCATTCAGTATTACCCTGTGCTGGACTTGTAGCTGTGTCCTAAGTGGCAGTTTTCAGGTGGAGCGTCAGGATCATGCCAGAAGTCAGGATAACAGCGATCCCCCTCTAACCGGAGGCTGGGAGCACGCTCAAAGCCGTAGTCACTGAGAACACACAGAGAGACGTAAAGCTCTATTTTTAGCCCCTGATCTAATTCACAGTGCACTGCACTGGGGTGTGAAAGTGAAGTTAAGAGTGCCTGTTACAGCAAAGGCATCTGTGTATAATTGCAATTGGCTTGAAATGTGCAAAGGTTATCTCTCTATTTCGTACCAGGCAAAGTCTTTCTCTGTGCACTGGCATGGTTTATCTGTTAAAGCTGATGTATAGCTCTTCCCTTTAATGCAGAACGATGACTCTTTCCTCCTCCTGTACATTCGCTCCTGGCCCATGATGCATTTCTCTCCCTGTGGGAGAAAACCTGTCATGAGTCTCCATTTAAATAGTAAACTGATTCACAACCTAAATGTACATTTATTTCCATAACAGAAGAGTTCAAATGTACTGCTGAAAATGTTTTTGCTGAAAAAAATATGTCTGTTTAATAATATTATTTTGTTTTTGTTTTTTTAATAGTCTTTATATCTGCTTCCTTATTTTCGTCTCATGAGTTTCAATGAGCTGTACAGCACTTTGGTTCAACCTTTATTGTTTTTGAACATGCTGTAACTTTACTGCTGAGTGGGAGGCCAGAAAAACAGCCTGATATTACCTGTAGGTCAGTGAGTTTCCAGGAGTCATAATCAGCTTCTGTGCACTGCCTGGGAAACGACTGTCGGAAATCCACCTTCACCAGCTCCCAATCCGAACGGTAACTTATGTGGCCAAATACCCTGTCCACATCAGCAAGCATAAATAAACATAAGCCTTCGACCTGTCCATTAATCCATCCCTCCATCCATAAACATCCGATTATCCATCAAGACAAAAGCCATTCATCCCTTTCACCAAAAAAGCGAGACCATTGGAGTGTAACCTTGACTTCACGTCACAACACATTCTCTACCCAATTACGCATTTTGGGAACGGAGCAAGCGAGAGGACAGACACATGACCTCGCTCATCAGCAGTGTGTTTCTAATGAGCGGGGGCCTCTTTAATTAAGGCCTTTGAATTTCACATTGCCTTTATCAAAAGGGCAGCCTCTTTATAATACAGAGACCACCTGCTGTTTGGGGTCTATGGAAAGATGCTCTTCACTTAATCTCAAATAAATCACTGTTCACCACCACAAGGTGGAACCCTGTATCTGCGTTTCATAGAACTCAGTGCACAAGTGTCACGAACAATTCAAAATGCTTTGATCATATGGCATATCACTCATATCTGAGATGTCCAATATGTCCAATTTTATAAATACACTTCCTTCAGTTCAATGTGGTTCTACAATGAATATTCAGCTCGTGATTGACTAAAGGCCTGATAGCAAAATGCCTAACCGTTTCACGTCGAGATTATGCTCAAACAGCACAAACAAAATGACTGAACGAAAGGAAAAGAAAATTTATATTACTGTATGTACTAAGGCCAAGTAAAACCAAAACAGGAACCAAAATAGTACTCCAAAATAATAAAATTGTCCTAAAACTGTCTTAAATGGATAGTTCACAGAAAAATGAAGATCATATACTGTACTCTCATATTGTTCCAAAACTGTATGATTGTTTTTTTCTCTCCATACAATCAAAGGCAGTGGTGTCCAAAACAACATACCTCAGTCAGTATGAACATTTTGATTTTCATTGTATGGAAAGAAAAAAAAACTCTTTCTCTGTTGTGCATTTGAAACATGAAGGTGAGTAAAATAATGTTCATTTTTGATCACCTATCCCTAGTGGACTAGTAACTCCTGTTAAATTTTCAGAGGTCTCATACTCACGTCATAACCAGCGTCTCATCTCCAGGTTCGCTCAAAAGTCCATCCACAAATACAGAAGTACTGGTGAAGTTGTGGATGCTCCATGTTCGTCCTTCATCTGTGCTGAACCTAAGATAAAATATTTGTTTTGATGTTGTATTAGCAGTACTCACCACCATGCATTTAAAAAAGTTGTATATTATATTTTAGTTATATTTTATTAAAGTTGTATATTATATATGCTATGACCTATTACAAGTCTGCTTTGAGTGAAGACGTGTATTTTAGTTAAACGTGAAACAGTTTACACATTTCAAAAATTATTTTAATTAATTATACATGCGATACATTCATTCCTCTCTTTATAAAAATTCTGAACATACTGTCAGCAGAAAAATCACTCTGTCGGCGTTGATTCCCACAGTGTGAACATGAGAGGTTGTAGGCTACAAGCCAGCGTAAGCACTACAAGCTCTTAGTTTTATCCTGACAGAAGCTGTGTTTGTACTGCCAAGACTCAATGCCGATGAAAGGCTTCAAGGCTTATGTGAGAGATGGTAATGATTTTCTCTTTGATCTTCATAGGTCTCCTCTTTACGCACATTTGTGAAGCAAGGTGAACTCGATATCTAGTATGTGAATCACTTCATATAATATGGGTAAAGAGCTGTCTTTAAGAGAGTGCAAAGGAAGAGATTCAGGCTGCTCGGGAACTCAGGGTGGTCTGAAGAGCCCTTCTTAAAGCGCTCACTCAAAACCAGCACAATCAGGTCAGCAAAAGCCAGGGAGGGAAGTCTTGAATTCCTGTTTTTCATACTGGTCTGACCGTTTACAGTGTTCACTACTCAAGTTTCTCTTTCTACTGTCAGTCTTTGTCATGTCAGCAACTGGGTACATTTGAGTTTTTGACTTTGAACACTTACAAATGATGTCCAGACATCACAATCACATTACAGAAAAAAAAACTGAACTTACTTGAGTATTTTTAAAGGGATTGAGGTGTCCTTGATGGCCACAATGACACCGCCATGATCCAGATAAAGAATGTGATGCTCTTCTTCAAAAACCTACAGTGAGCAAATGAAATAATCTCTTGAAGTTCATCTTCATAATTGTCATAATCAAGATTTAATGTTATTAGGGAAAATAGAGCTGAGGAAATGAGAGGCAGCAACAATCTCCAAAATCATTGAAAGGACATTAAGACTGCTACATACTGAGCGCTGAAACAGCAGCAAATGAGAGGGTGTCAAATGAAATTGAGCAGAATGGGAACAAGAGGAACAGAGATCTGAATTCAACGAGCAAACCGAACCAAGTCTGTTGGGAAAGGTGGGTGTTAAATACAAAGAGCAAACCTAAAGAGTTGTGACAAGTCACAGAAGAAGCTATAATGAAGCATTTTTCTGACACCGAAAAGTCATTGTAAAACACATTCGCAGACCATTAGTGTCTTTTCTGTGTTCATTCTCACCTGTCTCCAGGTCTTGCCACAGTCTGAGGTGATGTACATCTCCTCTTTATATTCAACCAGCTGAGACCCGAGGTTACCTGAAGAGAAGATACACACAGAATATCTCCACATAAATACAAAGAGGGAGAGAGCATCTTTAATTTTCTTCTTTTTAACTTGAGGCGAAGCAGCAATTTCCTCACTTTGTTTAATTTTAAGAGAGAAGGAGGAGTAGTCGTGAGCGAGTTGCATATAAAAAGAATGAAACTGCGAGAAAACTGGAGGCTATTGTGGATCAAAGGCTGGGAACTAGTTAGAGCTGAACATTTTACTGAGGAAGTGCACAATAATAGCAAGAGAAAGCAGGATTTTGATGGAGACTCTGTGCTCATTTTGTGCAGTGTATGTACATGTACATTTATATGGTGAGAACAAGCTTCAATGTGTTTAAAACCGGAGACTGCTCATGTGTTTGTTAGTAAGAGAAATAAGTCAAGATTGAACAAGTCACTGTGACACTGACTACGTTTACATGGACATCAGTAATCGAATTATTTACCTTATTCTAAATAAGCCAATATTATGATTATAGTGTTTACATGAGTTGCTTTTAGAATATGCCTTTCATGTTCCTGCTTTACATGTTATACATAGTTCGATTAATGGCACGTCATTACGACCCCACGTGACGCCATCCGACATCCCCTCCAGAATTTCACGTATAAACATATAGTTTGTCTTCGTGATGATGCCATGTACAGTTTTGGGTGTTTCATTTTTAATTTACAGAAAGCTTCAAGTGCAGTTAATTATTTGTACGTGCATACAGACGACGGCGGGTGTTAAAGCTCTTTTATTTGCTGTCAAATGGTTGAGCACTGCCGTGTGTGTGTATCCTGTCGCAAAATTTGATTAAGGTGTGTGCATGTCTATACTGCACTTCAGTAATGCGACTAAAATAGGAATACTCCATGTCTTCATTCGATTTCTGTTTACTTCGAATATGACTTTAGCCGGATTAAGGTAATCAAAAATCTCTTAATTGTATTAAAATTGGAGTATTGTTGTCCATGTAAACGTACTCACTGTGTGTGTGTGTGTGTATGTTATATGTCTGTAACCCTGAGGGAATGGACAGACTTAATGACCTTGTGAACTGGCAATAGCTCTAGCCTTGGATTCAAGAACATTAATGTATTGTCTTCTTCAATTCCCCATGAACCCTGTGGCAATAATGAGCAAATATTTCATATATCTGTGCCTGCCTCCTTTTGTGCCTCAGTGTGGGCTCAATGGCAGTGCACAACACTCAAAAATGGTACATCACATTAATTTTTCCCTCCTAAAATATTTCTCAGCATTCCTTTCCTTTTTTTCTTTTCTTTGTACACACTATCACAGTTTCCCTAAGCATGCAGTAGTGCAGATTTGGATCTGGAATATAATTAGCTCTTGAAATTGAAAAGGAGTACAGAGCTTCATGGTGACAGTGCTGATGTGTAACAGTGGTCATGAAAACTGACCTGCACCCATTATGAGGCCTGGGGCAGAATCTTTAGTGTGGACTGTTCCAGATACATAAGGGTTGTCAGCCCAGCGCAGGTGGAGATGGAGGTGACAGTCAGGCTAGGATGAGGAACAGAGGCAAAGAAAAATTTTTACTTTACTTTTTTTTTTTTGTACTTTGGTGATTATTACCCAATAGATATACCACCAACCAGTGCTTTACATAAGGTGTGCACTTAGTAGAAAATCTAGACTCTCTGACAAACACACAAAACCACCTTGCATTAACACACACAAATAACAGTCTAAGTTCTACAGTAAGCAGCCCATAATTTAAAATCACTTCACAAGTCGTACTACATAATGTTCCGGATAAAAGATGAATCAGAGCATGAATTTAAAGCATATTTAAGGTGCCAAAAACCTCAACAGGGTGGCAATAAAAAATAAGAAGAGCAGTAAAAATGACAAAAAAATGAGAGAGGAAGGAAGAGAGAGTGTTGATAAATGAGGAGGAGAAGAGAACAATGAGAAAAAAGACATGTCAAACGGACGGCTGGGAGATGAAGATGTGAGAAGGGTTGGCTAGACAGGCAGGAAAGGAGAGAGAAGTCGATACATGTCCTTTCAACTTGTGATTTATATCTAGTCTTGTCTTGTCTCATGTATGCCAGAAACCATATCTGTGTCTTAATTAATGGCCAGCTACCAGTCACAGTGTTTAAAATGGGCATTTATAATGATATATATCATCTCTAGCTGTGTGTGTGTGTGGATTGATGATTCAGATCGTTTTTTCTTTTTTGTCTAATGAGACAGCAGCAGAACCAATGCCTGCTCTGCACACCAACCCTCAACCACAAACAGCGGAAGATGAGTCAGATCTAGGGGTCAATGACTTCACGTCTGTGTCTGTGAGACAGTTGCGGTACAATCATTCTGAACAGGAAAAAAGCAGAGTGTGGGCTGGATATATATCTGTAGATGCATAGTGAAATAAAGTCACGATTTTGTTAGTATGACTATGCAATGAACGACATCTGCACAATTACTGTATATTTAAATCAAGGTCTGCATTGTAGCTTTTAGTTTGTGGGTATGTTATGTACACTTCTATTTAAAAGGGGTCTGTAAGAGTTTTTTCATGTTTTTGAAAGAAATGTCTTTTGCTTACAAAAACTGCTTTTATTTGAGCAAAAATACTGTAAAAGAGGAATATTGTGAATTTTATTAAAATTTTCCTATTTTAATCTTTTAAAATGTAATTTATTCCTTTGATAGCAAAGCTGAATTTTCTGCAGTCATTAATCCAGTCTTTAGTGTCACATGATCCTTCAGAAACCATTGTAATATACTGATTCGGTGCTCAAGAAACATTTCTTATTGTTATCAGTATTGAAAACAATTGTGCAGCTTAATATAAACGTATGTAAATGTTATACATTTTTCAGGAATCTTTGATAAATATAAAGTTCAAAAGAACAGCATTTGAAATAGAAATTTTTTGCAACAATGTAAGTTTTTACTGTCACTTTTGATTACCTGAATTCTTGCTGAATAAAGGTATTAATAAAAAGATTTCAATTTTTTTTGTTCTAAAAAATATCTTACTAACCACAAATGTTTGCACGGTACTATATTTATAAATATCATATGTAAGTAATATGTTTGGGAAATCAAAGTATTAACTGAAAGGTAAAAAGGGGCTTAAAAATAATGACAAAAAAACAGTCATTATTCTGCTTAACTTTTCAAAAAAAAAAAATGGGCGCGAAAGCAAGACTAAAATTAATTTAGCACTGATAGATACATAGAAATGCAAAAGACCATCTGAAAAGCTGGATTAAGGAATGAACAGGCATATTTACCTGCTTGCAGCTGGCAGGTTTGCCATTCATATCAGTTGTGGGAGGAGCCAGTGGTTCCCAGTCTCTGCCTTTGTTGTAGGTAATGAGAGTCATCACTTTTCCATCTATTTTTTGATTGGCTAAGAATACGCCCTTGATGCCACGAACCTGAAAAACATACACACACAACCAAAGGATGTGATATTCCTCAGTATCTCCCAAATCCTGTAAAGAAGCTGTAAAATATTACTAGCAAGTCAAACTATGGCAAAGTCACAACTGTCTAAGAAACTCTCCAATGTGTTAGATCAAACTTGCTTCAGTAGCACAGGAACATCAGCTTTCTAGAATCACTCATTTATTTAAACATGCTGCTGGCAATGCGTGAAGGCAGAGTTACTAGTTCACAAGCAGTCACACTTCAGTTTTATGTGTGTGTGTTATAGGTAAAGGTCTCTAACAATGTGAACTTTACAAAAGTTAAACTATGTTTAGTTCATTATGCAGAAGGTAGGATGTGAAGCCCACACTGCCTTGTTTTACACAAGCACATTGTGAGGTGAAATGCTGACCTCTAGGATGTCGATCAGGACATTCTCTTCAGGCTGCTTGGTGCTGCGGACGTTCTCCAACACAATGGAGTAATAGACTCCTTGTGGATCTGACTGGTAGAGGTTGTACGTGTCTGTTTGATACCACTCCTGCAGAGCCAGGAATACCTGATTCTCATCTGTACTCACAATTTGCACATCCTGCACAGAAAGACAAAAACAGAGCAGCAGAAAGAAACCACACAAGAAGATTAGAACCTCATGTAAAGATAAAAGTGAAATAAGTTCAATGGAAATGACAGTTTCAGTTTTCTCAGCAGGTACAACTAATTAACATCATGATTCGTTCGGGCTTGTGTCTTTGTGTGAAGAGAGATAGAAAAGCTGAACGCTTTCACTTGTGCTTACATAAAACAACCACAAATATGAATCCATGGTGATTATATTTAGTTGCTTTGAAATTAAAAGTTTATTTTGAGCTGCTGTGAAGAACTGAGTTGGAACAGGAACTGTGTAGGGAGAGATTTAGATTAAATGAAAGCATGAACAATTAATGAATCCATCCTATAATTAGCTCTTCTGATTTGCCCTTAAAAGAATACCGAATCAACATTAAGCTCCTCAGTTTTGGTAGCTTAGATGCATACAGCCGGGCGCTGTGGCAATGACTGGGTCAGGACGGGGGAGTTTGTCACCATGTTGTTCTTCCCGATAAAGTGAAAGTGGGTCGCATTAATTTAGGCACAAAGATGAAGGGTACAAGCTCAAGCCCCCAGCTGAATTCATTCATAAGAACTTAAGTGAAGAGCTAGCAAAGTCCCTGAAGGGCTGTGCAGCTTTAATGTACTTCAGAGACCAAATTCTAAGGCTATTTCTCACTTATGTCCCACTAACAGCAGTTTAGAGGCACTGAGCCCCCTCTGTGAGAGGTCAGTTACACAACACCTGTTTACTCTGGGAATTATAGGATGGAATAGGGAAGATAAGGATAAAGCAACACACTTAAAGAAGCATCTGTAACTACTTGTGTGTGTGCATGTGCATATGGACCAACGTATCTTTACTGTACATGCAGCTTCTATATAAAGAATGATAAAGAGGCTTTCTGAGTAATATATCCATGCTACATGTGCAGTATAAATAGTGTATGTCTTTATATCAGCTTCATTAAAGTCAATTATTATGACATGATTCAAATAATTTCAGTCAGAATTAAAAATATTTTTTTGTTAGAATTAAATAGCCAGACAATTTCATATTTCTCTGTGTTTTTCACTTCCCAAAAAGACAGGAGGCTTTTCTAATGCAACATAATGATGCACATTAGTTGTATAACCGACGCTGCATCTGTCTATTTTATAATTCTTGTGGTGCCACAGAGCATGACGGAAAATGTGGTCTGGTCTGTATCCTCATAACCCGCCTAAATGAGTTGTTTTCTGGCAAGATTTATCACTATTTTTCATCAAAACACAAAATGCATGTAAACTAAATGGTACCATCAACATTCACAATTTCAGCTTATTATGATCAATGACCCAACTTGGAAAGTCTTGGCTTAAAGAAAGTTTAAAAAAAAAACTTCATGAACAACTCTTCCAACTCACTGTTATAGAGACTTCTAATCCTGTTTCATCCCTGTGTTCGCTTCCTTCCTAAAATATCTTTCTATATCCACACACAAACACTTCTGAAAAGTACCAATTTCCCCAGAAGGCTTAGGCTATTCTGATGAAATGAATGCAAATATTTAATTTCAGAGAAGCTCTTATATAGAGGGGACTGCAAATGTGTACATGGCTTTTACAGACATTATTTCAAATCGAATTTACCCTTTTACCATCCTTAGTTGTCAGGAGGTTCATGATGACATCTGGAGACAAGCAATCACAAATCGTAATAGCTGATTGATTGCTTTTACGTTTGCTATGTGATTTTTCGATCAGATTTGGAGATAGTACTGAACACGTCTCTTGTCTAGAACGGCAATGTAATTCTTGGCTGTTGATTTGAAGTCAAATATGAACAGCTCATCATCTTTTAGTTAGTTGTGCATTAAAATTTTAACGATGAGGTCATCTTCCCACCAAGGCTTACACAAGACAATGAAGTCATCGCTGTGAAACTCAGCTGCTGAAAGTTCCCCTGGAGAGAGTGGAAGTTTTAAACGTGGATTATAAGATCATCTAAACAAGCACACAAACAGCAACAAGAACAACAGAACAGGAAGCTATAGGTGAAGCACTTGCGTTTTCTTTTTAAGTCTTACATTCTACTGGCTGGATAGGTCCTGTCTTTGTCTATCATACTGTGTGACAGGACACTCAGGTCCCCAGTACTGATAACAGCACTATCAGAACTTAAGACAGCACTATCCATCTGTCTCTGACAGCAGGCACAGGACCCCTATCAGCCATGACACAGCTGCGAAACATTTGTGTCTCTGCCTACAGCCACAATCCCTGAGTGCATTATCAGCAGGCTGACTCAGTGTCTAAGAAGGATGGGATAGGTAACAGTACGAATGGATGGATGGAAAGACAGGAAATCTGTATAGAAAAAAAGAAAGAAAGAAATGAAATGGCACATTATTATTAACACAGCAGAAGTTTTTGCTTTTTCTCTGTGCCTGGTGGATTCATTGTGCTCCAATAGTGGTGCATTTGAATTCTGGTCATGCGGTTTCATTCTTGAAGCGGAGAAACAGGTCTTAATTGGCCAAAATCAATAGTATTGTTTCTATTCACAGTCTGCTTCAAGTAAAAGAACACCGGGCCTTTTTAAGTGATTTTGTGTGGTTCAGGGGCGATTGCAGTTGGATTAAAATACCAACATTTATCTAAGCTGAAACATTTAAAGCAGGCTTGAAAAATGACAGATGCGTTACAAAGTTAATTTTTTCAGAATAGCGTCGTTTCTCAAGTGCACTTAATGATTGGAGATCAAGTTGATTGAAATCTGTCTACAGAAATTTGACATGATAATGTTATTTGTTCATTTAAGATGGGCTGATTCACTCCTAAAACAGACTGGCACACTTTTTCTTTAAAGGGACAGACAACCCAAAACTGAAAATTCTGGCATCATTTAATCAACCTTTCTGTGTTCCACAGGTATCAAGACATGCAGGTTTGGAACTACATGACGGTGAGTAAATGATGATACAATATTCATTTTTGGGTGAACACTCCCCCCCCCCCCCCCCCTTCATTTTCTTCAGATATAGCAAGCTTTACTTCATGCAAATTTCTAAAACAATAAACAAACAAAAATCAGTTGAGAAGAGCTTTAAAATCAGAAAGACAAAGGTTGAAAGGGAAAAAAAAGAAAGAGAAGTGGCACTTAGCCATTTAGTACCCTAGGTGTGTTACAACAAACAATTCGTCCCACTGGAGCCATGGACCATGATTAATCCATAACGTAAAGAAAGGAACTTCAGGAGAGATCTGAGACTGCATACTGGAATTGGGTTTTGCATTTTTCAAAAGGTTTTCAATTATTCACTGTGGAAAATATGGGCACAACATCAGCCAACCCCACCTCTCTCACACACTCCTGCTCTCTTCTGGGTTCTTGAACCGGGTGTCTAAAATTTGACCTATCTGCTCAGTCAAGCGACAAGCAACTAAAAGAGCAGAGCAAAGAGGGTCTAGAGAGGGGAAAAACACCAATAATGCTTTAACCCACAAAATGACACCACAAAGGGAAATGATAAATATATCCGTTCTAAATAGTCACAAAAACCCTTGCATGTTCACTTGAAGGCACTGAGCGAATGAATATATAGCATGTTCAACTTCTACAGTAATTAAATCAAAGCTTTTATCTTTTGCCATTAAGGCGAATGCCTGGTAATCTGGGGCATCTTTCTTAGTAGTACTCTTCTCTTACACTTTTCTCTCTCTCTCTTTCACTCTGTCACAGTGAATCAGTGGTTGGCACAGTTACAAATGCCATTGACAGCAGCTGCCCTACAGTCTCTCTCCTTTCCCTGCCTCCCTCTGAGGGTGAAATATACATGAAGCAGGCCCCTCTGGCCTCCACTCCAATCAATGTTATTCAATTACAGTCAGCCAGCATTTTACTGAAGCACTCCCTTGGGTTAGAGCCACAGACAGCCTGGTCAGTCATCAGCTGTAACCCTTAGCCAGCTGTCTTCATTCGCCGGCATATTACTGTCATACATCACGGCTCCTCAGTAAGTTAAACCCACATCTGGGTTGTAGTAGTGTAGTGTTTCAATGCTAGACACCAACTGTGCTCTTCAGTTCATACATATTGCTGCAATATGTCATAGTCAGTCTCCGGCTTTAAAGTGAAATCCACAACAGCTGCAGATGATAAAAGAACAATAACCACCTTCAAACAGTAACTCACATTTAGTACATAGGTCATGACAAAAACAGCAGTAACTTAAAACACAAAACTAAACATGCACATGATGCTGCTATAGTAAAAAGCACCAAACTTAATCTTAGCATTTTTAACATTTATACTCCAGTGTCACTGTTTTTTCCCCTACGTTTGTCTGTGTTTGCCAGTTTTGGACACGTGGACAGTCTGTGCATTAGTTGTGGGTATTTTTCAGTGACTATTACTGCAGGTTACACCAGTACACCAGTAGGTGGCAACAAGTGACTGTCTTTATAAGTGAGTCATTGAATTATTCATTTAACCGATTTGCTCAAACTCAGTGATTCATTCAGCAATTAAACAAACAACTGTCTTTATGATTCAGCCATTGAATCACTTACTTAACCAATTTGTTTAAAAACACTGATTTATTCAGGAACGGAACACCACTGCTACGTTAATTCTGCTTTTACTTTGTAGTCCTATTTTCTTTTGTGCAGCAACAATATACTGGCAATAATGTGTCACTCAAAGCTACTTAATATTAACCTCTTAAATATTAATTTGTTTATTGAACTGCTATTTAAAAGGAATATCCCTCTTGTGTAATTGTGGTGTTAGTTTTATTAAAAAAACAGATATGTGTCTTAATATGTGTGATACTGTTTAATTTATGGTGTTGTGATTGAATAAGATTAAATAGCAGAAAGTTAAAACAATATTGTAAACAAACAATATAGAAACACAATATTAAATATCAGTTTGCATTGCAGTATGTTTAGCACAAAAAGTTTCTTGTACACTATAAAACATTTTAAACATACAAAAAATGTTTTTTTTTGGCAAAGACTACAACCCAAAATTGCACTCAAAAGTGATTTCAGAGTAAATATTGGTCATTTTACAGCCACATTTCTGAGGACCGTACCTTTGGAAGGGCATATTTAGGGAATCTCATCTGAACAAATTCATTCCTTCGATATGAGACGTAATACTTGGTTCGATTTCCTGTAGTTACCTAAAAAGAAAAAGAAAGAAAGACAGTGTGTTTTTATTTCACTATCCCAATGATGGGGTCTTGTCTTCACTGTCAGCAATTTTGAGACAAACCACTCTCAATGTCCTATTCTTCTTTGCCATCTCAATTCACAATGTTGAGAATGTTCACAATGAAAGCTACTATTATCCCAACAGATTCAGTCGTGGGGCAGTCGTGGCCTAATAGTTAGAGAGTCGGACTCGTAACCCAAAAGGCTGCGGGTTCGAGTCTCATACCGGCAGGGATTGTAGGTGGGGGGAGTGAATGTACAGAGCTCTCTCCCACCTTCAATACCACACTGCTCCCCGGGTGCCGCAGCATAAATGGCTACCCACTGCTCCGGGTGTGTGTTCACTGCTGTGTGTGTGCACTTTGGATGGGATAAATGCAGAGCACTAATTCCGAGTATGGGTCACCATACTTGGCCACAAGTCACTTCACTTCAGTCTCTACTAGCACTGAATCAAAAGCTCTGTCTGTTGGTCTCTATGGTTCACATAAATTGTGTCCAGTCTGAAACAGCATGACTCTGACCAAACACAAACATTTCACACACTGTAGTCCTGTTTCTCAAGGGCATATCTAAATTCCTTTTCAACAGCTACAATACCTTCTAAAAGCAACTGAGCAAGTGAGGGAGATGGGTGGTGGGGGAGATTGAGAGAAATTAATATAGAACGAGCAAATGTCCTTGAGGCATTGGCTAATTATAAAAGATCAGAAAAAAGGAATACAATTTAAACAGGGATATAAGGGAAAAACAATACTGTAGTTCAAAATAAAGAATGTGAGACTAAAATTATTGTTAAATGTTACCAAAATTAAGCTAATACGCAGTATGCCCACAATATTGACAAAACTATATATATATATATATATATATATATATATATGAGGAAAAAAATGAACTTAAATGATTTTAGCAAAAGGCTGCAATATAACAAAGAGTGAAAAATTTAAGGGGGTCTGAATACTTTCCGTACCCACTGTATATATATATATATATATATATATATATGTGTGTGTGTATGTATATTATGTAGGCCTATATCCTGACAAGCAATGTGTAAACAAATGTATCAATTCTTGCATTGCATCTTAATTGGGCCTATTGTTCACTTCAGTACCCTAATGTGAGAAATTTTCCTCAAAAGCAAAATAAAAGCCTGAAAATATCCCAGCATCTAAAATGCTAACACAGCTGTGGCAGTATTTGCTTTGGAGATGAGAGACGTCATCAGCCTTTACATGTGAAAATGAACTGTCACGCTGTTAAAGGAAATCCCAGGACTGCACTTCTAAAAGCATTCACTGAGCTGTGAACTGGCCATGAGGACTAACAGGTCTAACACTTATCAGTTTTTTTTTTATATCAAACAAAGTAACAAGGTTAACTGATGTTCATGCTTTTAATGTTGGTTAAACACCTAGAGACCTGCAGCAGCATGGTCCTCGCTCTGCCATATGTGTATATATATACACACTTTATTCTGATTGGTCAATCATAACATAGTTATTTTTGAATTATGAATCATTATTATTTTTGAATTATTAAACTGTGTAACTGACTGTTGTCCCTGGCAACAGATTCCCTACAGTATATAGCTGTGTTAGTTAATAAAAACTCAAAGTCCATTTATTTATCTGGCAAGCAGTCTTGTAATAAGTGACATTCAGTGAAGTGATGTGCATTCAGACGATCATTATCACAAAATAAACCCTTTTAAGGAAATACAAGACCCTGACCAGGGTTGATTTTACCTGGTTAAAAGTGCCAGTAAAGCATTGTGTTTATCAGAAGTGACAGTAAAGCAATTTATATTGTATATCAAATAAAAGCTGTTACTTTGAATTTTCATCAAAAATATTCAAAGAATCCTGAACAATATACTTCTACAAAAATACTAAGCAGCAACATTTTCAAAATTGATGATAAAAAGAAACATTTCTTGAACATCAAATCAGCATATTGGAATAAAACATCATGCATCACTGAAGACTGGAGTAAAATTTTAAGATATATTAAAATGGTAATTGTAATGATATTGTAATAATATTTCACAATATTAATTTATTTTTGATAACTACAGATTTGGTGAGCATAAGGGACAACGTTAAAAAAAAACTTACTGACCTTGAATTTTTGATATTAGTGTATAGTGTATATATAATATATAATATATACGGTGATAATCTGCTAAACTCTCTAATGTCTGAATGGATCTCTCTGAATAAATATGTACATACATCATATGTAAAGGATATGCAACACATCATTTTACCTTCACAAATATGTATTCATCTTGCACTGAGAGGGAATTGTGGTCAATCTTCCCCAAGAACTGTGCTGTCACCATTTTATCAGAGCAATTTTGTATGAGACATGTCACATAAAGGTATCCTGGTGAAAGACAGAAAACACACACATAAAAGGGTTAGAGGAAAAGTGAAGGTAACAATTTGACTTTCAAAACTTTGAAAGGAATTTCATTTCTATGTCTGATCATACAGCTTTTGTAAGTGAGTGTTTGGAAGCCATTCCAAAGGTGAATGGAGTGAAAGATATCTGCAAAAAAAAAAAACACATGGAGCTCTTAATAAAATTAGCTGAAGCTGATCCTCACTGGGCACATTGCTTAGCTCCAGAATGGCAGAAAATTAATTATGGGAAAACAGTGCCGAGGTGCCCTGTAGCAATGGCCTTTCTGTTTAGAATCTCACACAATAGCTGGCTCAGCAACCTCTACAAAACACACACACACACACACACACACACACACTCATCAATTCTCCAAACGTGCATAAAAAATGACAACCATTTGGAAAATGATGAAAATATTAGAGGAGAATGCATACTCCAAAAATCATGGCCAAATGTTACATATCAAAGTGGGGAACTTAATTGCTATTCTCATAATGTTGTTTCCTCTCATTCTCTGTGGTTTTATTTTTTGTTATTAATTTTAGGCAAACAAATGGGCAGACTACTTCACTGAAGAGGACGAATGGTTAATCAAAGCAGTACAGCAGAGAAATTCATTAAAAAGCAATTAGAATGGCTGAGCGCTTTGCTTCTGTCTTCTGTCACACAAGGTCAGACGTGCACACACACACACACGCACACACACACACAGCACATCCTATGAGAGGTTGAAGGAGCCACTGAGCTGAAGAAAAAACACTTGAGGTCTGCATCTGTCAGTGTGACACAAGCCCAACAGATAAAGAGTAAAACCACAACTGAAAGTTCATTTATCAGAAGAACGGCTTGATTTGTGTGTCCAGTGTGATTTTTATACTAGTTAGACACATCTCTCACCTCCCTTAGGGGTTGAGTGTATGTGTTTGTAGGTTGCAATGTGACTGTCAGGCAGCGTTTAACCTTCACTGGCTTGAGTGTGATAGAGCTCTGTGCAACAGTTTGTATCTGTACGCCTGGTCTCTTTCACACACACAAACACACAAGCCTTACAAAACAGCTCAGCCAGGAGGAATTTCTCTGAAAGAGGTTTGTTCGCAGTGGTTTGATACAGTATGTAAAATTGAATTGAAATGCACTGTTCTATAAACACATGAGCTCCCTTACCACCACCGATGTCTTGAATCTCCATATGAACCAAATCAGGATCCACATCCGCCCCCGTAACGGCCCTTAAACAAAGCATACAGTTTAGCAACACATTGAGAGGAACAAACAAGACCGACTCACACACAGAAGGACATCTTAAAGGGATAGTTCACTCCAAAATTGCAATTCTTTCTGCATCTGCTCACCTTCATGTTGTTCCAATGACTTGATTTTACAAAAAATGGAAAGCTTTGAAGCGTTAATGCTTGTAATCACACACAAAAACAGTGACACTTTTCAGAATTTGACATTTTCTGTTCCACAGAAGAAAAAAGTGAAATAATTGTGGGTAAATAAATGACAGAATGGATGTCATTTTTGGAGTAACTATCCCTTTAAAACATTCCCTCAGCAGAACCTTCTCAACCATACAGACACATAGAAAGTCCTTGGTTTCAAGGAATGCAGACAGCTTGCTGTCTTTTGTCTAGTTGTGTTAAACACAATTGTTTGGAGGTTACTATACTGCTCAGGGAAGTTCTAGCTCAGTAAACCTGCACAAAACCTACATTATTTTACAAGCATTTTAACAAGCAGGAAATTAACAGAACCTTTTAAGAATGTGTGTGTTGTTTTGCATGATTTTCCCCCAAACCAATTAAGTTCCAAATTCCTTCCACAGCAGTTTTTATTGGTCAACTCAATCACTCAGTTAGCTGTCACAAAAAGTTCAGACTTAAGGTATTTCATTCAGAGTTCAGAAATTACACTGTCCCACTTTATATTAGGGGGCCTTAACTATTATGCGCTTCCATTTAAATTAATCATTAATACAATGCACTTATCATCTACATACATGTTTTTACATTGTACTATTAATATATTATTAATATGTAATATTTAAAAACTACATGCATGTAATTACATCTGTAATTCATTTCTGTAATTACATTTAAAATTACACTGTTGACCCATCCCTTACACTTCAACCCACCCTTAAACCTACCCATACCACCAAACCTGTCCCTAAACTTACCCGTATCCCACCTCAATAGTAGCAGAAGTGTTTTGCAATACAATATGAACACAATAAGTACATTGTACTTATTTTTTGACATAAGTACCTAGTAGTTAAGGCCACATAAAATAAAGTGGAACCAATTACACTGATGAATCCGATCTGTTAGGAATGGGATGTCCTGCTAATGGTTAAGATTTGGGTTTAGGTCGGGGGTTTGTTGTTGTTTCAGCTCTGTGTGGGCAATCAGGACTTTGATTGACAAGATCAATGAAATCTTTAGAATTGGCTCCTGGGCGAGGTTTGTGCTAGTTTGGGGGAAAAAACAAGAGTTTTAATGTCTATATCTGACAGTGTGCTTTTCAGCATTTCAGCTGGAGATAATTGTTCTAAATGCCTGTGATATTTCTAAATCAATGCTTTATGACATGTAAATATTTACAACAGCATAATAGCTACATAATCTAGCTCTACATTGATTTATAGCGGATTACTTGACCGTCATGTCTCAACATCACATAATAAGTTGCAATGAGCTCAAGACTCCTCTCCTGACCACACGGTACGGACCACCCTCCCAGACAGCATCCCTGTCCATTAAAGCCACGCTGATTTATGCTCTCTTCTCCCAGACCTCCCCTTCTTTTGTTTTATGAGCGAGGAAGCAGACGGGGAGGACGAGAGAGCCACAACCCTCACTATGAACTGATTCTGTCACGTCTTCTGAGGCAATTCTCTGAGATGTTTTAAAGAGGTTTGGAGACAGTAGAGAGGGAAGGGGTACAACCCTTATCAAACCCCCTGCTGCTGAGGAATCGAGTAAAAACAGCTTCAGATTTACAGTGTCATTGTAAAACCTCCAGCCAAATAAAACATGTGCTGGATGGGGTTTATTATGGCAGATGCTGACAGGGAGCTGACTTTTTCATCTTTTATCACAATCAACCACAGACAAACTATACAGAATTCTATATCGCATCTTGTGAATCTGGTAAAGTGCACTGGGAGGATGGCACGCAAGCAGAAGGGAGCAAAAGATCAGGAAAGAGAGATCAAAAAAGAGAAAGAGAGGGTCAGACAGAAAGACTGGTTGGGGTGGAGAAATAAATCACTTCTGTACAGGATTTCAATCCCAGCTGTGATAGCAGTGAACCATAACCAGGGAGCGAAGGAATGGAAAATAAAAGAAGGGGTTGAATTCCACTAAGAAGGTGGAAGAAGAGAAGGAGGGAACGGAGAGGGGGAAAAGATTAAAAAGAAAGTCTCAGAGGGCAATGTAAAGTAAAACAAACCAGTACTGACACCCAGACTTACTTTCTTCTGTGGAATACAAAATAAGTTATTTTTAGCAGAATGTCAATGCTGCTGTTTTCCAATGAAAGTAAATGGTGACCATGGTCGCCAATCAACATTTTAAGTGAATAACAGCTCATATTTTAGTCATCTTTACTTACAGACCACCTTTGAAATGTTTTTTTGTGTGAAGCTTTACAGCCCCTCACCCCCACAGTAGATGTTTTTTCCACAGAAGAAAGTCATACAGGTTTGAAACAACATGAGGTTCCTTTAAGTATTGTAGGATGAATTTAGAAAAAAAAATCACCAGAAAACTCTGTCTTTAGTAACACGCTCCTGTAGCAGAGTCCATTTGTGACCCAGATCGGTGGAGATATACAGCTGAAAAACAAAGAAAGACGAATAAATCATTATTTACTGTCACTGCATGCTTGAAGCACTGGTCATAACATTGATTTTTAGGCTGGATTAGATTAAAGCACACTTTGCAAATTCTCAGGATCATGAGAATTAGATGAGCGATTCCTTGCATACTGTATAACGATTAGGTTGTGGAAAACTGTCCATATATACCAATTAAAATCACATATGTTGAGTGTGTGTTTGTGTGTATGCATCTGTCCCCAATTGATCATCCCTATAATGAGATTATATTGATCACCACTTGCATGGAAAATACCCACCAAACTGCACCATAACAATACACACAGACAAATACACACTTTTCATGGTCTTTCCCATTTAAACTCAGAGATGATAAATGCAGAGTATTGCAAGCAGTGTCTAGGGGTTTTAGCAATTCATCAACCGCACATAAACACACACGCGCAAACACACACACACACACACACACACACAGAGATCTTGCCTCGTTGCTCGCTCAGCCGTTAACAATGTAAACATGCTCTTTAGCGAGAGACAACCATGGCCTGAAGGCCAAACAGTGCTGCTCATAACTCTAATAATGAGGATGCCAATATGCTAGAGAGCAAAAGGCAGAGCCATAAACAAAGCTGGGTGAGAAATGTGTTGAGAACAGTTGGTCAAGGTGTTCAGCCGAGACCTAAATCATTAATACTGAAAAAGCTACAAAGACTAATTCAGGCAGTTGAGCCTGACAAGAAAAGCTACAAACATGCAGCTGGAATTAAGACACATTATGATCTTGTGAGCAACCGGTTTGGAGCTGCCAAAAAAACACTGACTTCAATTGGTGTCATTAATAGTCATTTACTCGACTGCATTAATCTGTGTTGGCCAACACTTTCATCACTGACCTTCGCCTCCTTGCTGTAAGCCAAAAGTTTGTCTTCCTCAGATGGATGGAAAAGGAGTGTATCCACGGTGAAGGAGACAGGCTGCCGTTGGAAGGATGAACCCTCATCTGTGCTGATGAAGAGCATCTGGTCACGTTCATTGATGCTGGAGCTCACCAAGATCACCTAAAAAACACAATGTCTTCAGTGACTGCATGTCAAGATGTATGTCCGTTAGTTTACACATATTAGACAGTAAAGCATTGTTTACTGAGTGAAACCTTTTATTAAAGTATCTTTAATTTTATATTATATACGCAATATAAAGTATTTTTGTGCAATATTTAAATATTGCACAAATATATTTTATAATAAATATTTTATATTAATATTTAATATTTTAATAAAGGAATGTGCAATATTTGATTTTTATATGTGCAATATAAAATATTTTTTGTGCAATATTTAAGGTGCATTTCCTCCATATATATATATATATATATATATACAGCCAACTGCCCCATGGTATTTAGATATATCTATTGTAAATACATATTGTATTAAATGGAAAAGTCAAGATTTAAATATTTATAGCACATATATATATATAAAGTTCCGTAAAGTTGTGAACTACTTTATATTACACTCAGACACACGCACAATTTAACCCACATGGGGCCTTCAGCTAAAGTGCACTAATGTCTCTGTTGTGTTTTTGTTGCACAACACATTAAAAAAATACATGTATGCTACAAATACAAGATAAAGAGGAAACATAAAGGCAAAACCAAAGTCAATCACTTAGTCAGAAAAAAAACCGAATAAAGTCTATGCCTCTGAATGACCCAGAGTTGTGTGAATTTATCAAATAAACTGAACTTTATTATAAGATGCAGTTCCGTTAACTACCTTTAAGTGGCGCTGTTGTTCACCAAATGCGCAGTGAAAAAACAAGCAGGGATCCTCAAGGGGACTGCCAAACAGAGAGACTCTCAAAGGGATCTCTGTGAAACAAGTTATCCATCCCAAAACAAAGACTCCAGGGGAAAAAGGAAAGAATCTCCTCTCTGTAAAAATTCCCTCTTAAAGCAATAACTCGCAGAGTTTAGCACAGAGCCCCCTTTGTGGTCTGTGGATAAAAGCCATCAAACAACATCCTGTGGCTGTCCCAGAGGAGTACGGCGAGCTGGCAGGGCTGGAAGAGGGTACAGAGGCCGGTAAAACAACATGGGGCAGAATGTGGTGGCTGATGGCGCTTTAAGAGCGTAATCACCAATCTGCGATGATGTCTGACTGCCACTTCAGAATGAGGTTTTAGCAATTGTCTGTAGGTCATGTAATCAGCTATAAGATAATCTGCTTAAAGATCTCCAACTGGATCCTCTCTCACAATAGGCAAGTCACATAGTGTCTTTTATGAAGAATCAAGCTTTGTATGCCTACTCATGATTGGATGAAAGACAATACGGACAACTTTATGTAGAAACATGAGAGAACAATCATACCGCTTGTCTCAACATTCCTCTGAAAGTGCCATGTTTAAATGCTTCACCTTTACACAGCATTCATGAAAGAGACCACGTGATAGTATTGACCTAATTACTCATGCTAATGAACAGCAGTAATATTCATCACGCAACAAAGCTCTGAACGAGTCGCTAATTCAAACACTCCGCTGAGTCTTTCGGTGCAGTGGAACTTTGTAAACAGAACAGCCTGCGAAAGAGACAAACATGTCTGTGTGTACATGTGTGTCACTGCTTTTACTCAATGCACCTCTACTAATTTTGCTTTCCACCCAATTTAATATGCAAATTGGCAGGTTTGATATCCAGTCAGTGCTGAGCGGGAAAATGAGAAGCATAGAGAGATGAAGAGGGGGAGAGAGTGAGAGAGGTCTGTTCTGTGCACCTGAGCTCAGCCACTGGAACAAAAGACAGACTTGAAGAAAACTGACTGCGGCAACGGCAAATTTTCAATACTCAACCGCAGAAAGCCGAGGGGTAGAATTGTGGAGCGCTGTTTGAATGCTGAAAGCTTCTTCTGAAACAACCGAGACCTGCTTGGGTTTGCATTCTGGCTTAGCTCTACCTGATGCACCTCTCAGAGAGAGAGAAAAAAATAGGATTCCCTACAAGAGATGCTTGTTTTAGTGAGAGTCCTCAACAGACAGTGGGGTCAAGAGACAGAGGCACAGATTAAAGGCATAGTGCACAAGTCTGTCATCATTTAATCTTTCTCAAGTCGTTCTAAATGGAAACGTGTATAGTTTCTTTTAAACCAGCAGATCCGGTTCATAAAACTGGTTTAAAAAAACTAAAGAAAGCAAAACAAAAAAACACGATTCATTCACAAATCTGTCCAATACTCGAGTTCAACTCAGTGATTCAATCTAGTCTCAGTGGTTTTTAAGTGAACATCACAATGGAGTGGATATTAACTCTTAAATTAATTCTGAATTCATTTGCTTGCCCTCATGTTGTTCCAAACCTGACTTTTCTTTTGTGGAGCATAAAAGAAGATATTTTGAGTTGACCATTGACAAAAAACACTTGAGACATTACTCAAAATATCTTCGTTTAGGTTTCTTTTAGGAGTTTTTAATGAAAAAAAATCATCATACAGCTTTGGAACAACATGAGGGTTAGTAAATTATGACAGATATTTCATTTTTGGGTGAACTATGCCTTTAAAATTCATGTTTGTCCTTGCACAAAGCTATTGAGTGACTTCAAAAGTATTGAAATATAGCATATGAATTATATATAAGGAATGCTTTTTTGTCCTTTTTAGACATCGACATTGACATGATTGCTATGAACTGTCACTCTATAGTCAAAAAACCTGTGAAAAAATATTCTTTTGCATACAGGTTAAGGTAAGGGTGAGTAAATAATGATAGAATTTTCATTTTAGGTGAATTATCCCTTTAAGAAATCCACTCTGCCAATAGGCAAGCTTGTGACAACACACATATACAGATCCCCCTCTCTCTTTATTTCTCTCCAAATGTGGAATATGGAAATATTCTCCCACACACATCAAACACTTTGAATAGATATTAAGCATCTATTATGTCTGCATGATAGTGTGAAGGGACAGAGGCCAGTGAAGAGACTCCCTTTTCAAGGGAGACAAAGGAAATGTGTGTTTGTCTGTGCTTGTGTGTGTGTGTGTGTGTGAAAGAGCGAGAGAGAGAGCGTGATCTTTCCACTGACCCTTCTCTAAATCCAGGTCTCACACAGGTAATTTGTCAGGAGCATGCTTAGGGTGAAAGCACTGTTATTAAGTCCCTCCTGCCTGTCATAATGGCTCAGCTCAGACTAAAGAACAGCCCACACATCAAACACCTACACCAGGGACGAGGACCCATGAAAACACTGAAGACAAAAGGAAAAAAGGGATAACAATGCTCACACTGTGTGCATGATCACAGCTTTGTGCTTGGGGCTACTATGTAACATTTGTCTGTAGGTGCAGTGCATGGCAACAATTATACAGTTTCCTGCACTGTGGGGTCTCGGCTCTCTGATCATGACCTGAGGAAGGTGTAATCATATACACCTTGACTGTTGGCAGAAAAATTGCAAAAAACACACCCTTAAAGTAGTTAAACCAATGTTAAATGATGTTAATATGTGGGAATGTAGGGGTGATCCTGTGATCAAGCGATCAATTTTCTTACACCATGTCCCATCCAGAAAAGAGGCAACACATTTCCAGCAAAAAGTCCTTTGTTCACCCTGAAAGAGAGACTACTGTGTGACATGACACAATCTCAGCCAATCAGAAGATATTTAATGTTCCAAGTTCTAGGCTGTGAATTAGACTTTTCATTACAATACAATCTGACATCTATTCTCTTAGCCAGAGATACAATATTCACTGATACTGTACCTCAACATAACAAGACACAATTTGATGAGATTCAATGAGATTCAGTTAACATGAGATCTGATGACAGAAAAGATAAGCAATGGAAAGTCTATAGGTACATGGTGCTCTCTAAATTGTGCAAATAGTATACCCATTAGGACATGCACACACACACACACACACATTTGTTTTTGTGAATTGTGGGGACATTCCATAGGCGTAATGGTTTTTATACTGTACAAATTGTATTTTCTATCGCCCTACACCAACCCTACACCTAACCCTACCTCTTACAGGAAACTTTGTGCACTTTTACTTTCTCAAAAAAACTCACTCTGTATGATTTATAAGCGTTTTGAAAAATGGGGACATGGGGTAATGCCCCCATAAGTCACCTTCTTCTTGTAATACCTATGTCATACCCATGTCGTTATACAAAGTTGTGTCCTCATATGTCACAAAAACGTGCACACACACACACACACACACACACACACACACACACACACACACACACACACAAACATGTACTGTAGGTTTTTCCTTTAAGACACTGCATGCAGATGTGGCTAACACGAGAGTGTTAAAAGGTGCATCTTAAAAAAAATTAGCAATTTCTACACAGTGCAATTATACTTGATCAAAGCGATATAGCCCTATAATGTACAGTTATGAGGAGTGGGACTGATGATCAACAATGTCCTTTCGCTTGTTACGGTCACAGCTGGTGACTGGAAAAAAAACATTTCACTGACATGGCTTTATCTCTTGTCGCTTAATATTGTGTATAAGGGTCTTTGATCATATTAAAACTTGCCTTAGGGTAAAAATCATGTCCATAGTGATGTCTTTTTGGCTGTCAGCTCTTCAAACATGATACAATTTGTCAGCATCAGCTTTAAAGCTGTAAAACTTTTGAGTCTAAGGTCAAGTTTGATAGCGTAAGTAGATATTAATTTCAGGCTATCCACTCTTACTACAGTCAAATTATATTTTAAGGGATATCTGAAAGAAAAGTAGTTATTGGAAAGCGCTTCTTGAAAAAAAGCATCTAATTCTAAAGTGTTATATCAAGATAAATCATCATATTTTAGCTGTGGGAACAGTTTGCTGATAAGATTATCAATATATATTGATATAGCCTTCAGTCTCTTATGGTCAGCAATGCATCATATACTGGAGCCTTGGTTTACTGTGGTGGGAAACAATCTGATTAGACCCAATCCCATTTACTTTTTATTTACTAATAAAATATGCAAAATAAAGTCATGTTTAGAAGTGTGATTCCACAACAGTAATAAATGTATATA